ATTAATAATACCTACTTGTAAGGGAAGGAGAGGAGCAAATGAGATCAATCAAATGTAACAAAAATCAAGTGGCCTGACAATGTCTGTACATAGTATTCAGGGTTAAAAAAAAAAATAGGGCAGTTTTAATGATCCTAAGAAATTTTAAAGGAACTAGAAGATTTTCATTTGAAATTCTGCACTGTTACTTACTTTCCAGGATCGTTGAGCAAGAGGAGCACCTTAGGGGAGAAGACGAAGATACCCTTGGGCCCGGATACACGGAGGACTCCACTGATGTGTACAGCTCCCAGTTTGAAACCATTCTGGACAATACTTCTTTGTACTACAGTGCAGAGTCGTTGGAGACATTGTACTCAGAGCCCGATAGCTACTTTAGCTTCGAAATGCCCCTCACTCCAATGATTCAACAGCGCATTAAAGAAGGTGGTCAGTTCTTGGAGAGGCCATCAGGAGGAGGACATCAGGATGTCCTGAGTGTCTCAGCAGATGGTGGAATAGTGATGGGATATTCCAGCGGGGCCACCAACGGGCTGAACGATCCCAGCGACTCCATCTACACGAGAGACACCCCGGAGATTGCTTTCTGGGGAAGGTACTAGTCCCATAGTCGTTACTTTCATGGTGGTAGTTTTTGTGGCATTCTCTGGGAAATCCGAGTGTGGAATATATTTTAAAAGCATTTGTCCAATTTCTGTAGATATAGCAAATGATGTGAGTAAAAAGTAATTTGGGTTTTAGGGGCAGACAGGGTATACCTTAGTTTACCAAATTGGCAAGCTGTGATCATTTTATTCCGTGGGATTTCCTGGATTACCATATGTAAATTGCAGACTGAAAAAATATTTGTGGGCCATGATTAGGTATTAGCTCTGATGATGCAGCTTTGATGGCAGTGACGTGGTGCTCTGGAGGGAACACAGAGATCGTGGCTTTAGTCTGGCACCGATGTTGGTTGATGACTTGGAGCAAGTTGTTTGATTAGCCCAGAGGTTCCTTAATTCTAAATCAAGGGTGTTAGATTAGATTGTCAGCAAAGTCTCTTCCAGCCCTTTGCTCTGAGGGGTCCTGTTCTGTGTGGCCATATTCCTGTTCCTGAGGTGGTGGGAGAAGGATCTAGCTATACAGATGCTTGAGAGAGCTGATACCTTGGTCAAGGCCAGGCCATAATTATTCATTTTCTTTCTCAACGTTAGGATTTTAGTCTATCTAGGAGATAAAATGACAAATTATGTGGGTAACATGCACTACACCTGTCATTTGGGGATTTCCTGTCTATTTATGAATTATCCAGCATTTCCTTTCTTCTTGTTCCCCTCAGGGCATCTACCTGTCTTTTAGCATCTCCATCCGTGGGCAGAGTACGCTAAACTTTGTATCAATTTTACAAATTTAGTTTTGATGTCCAGAGTCACTTTATTTTAAATAAAGGTGCATTTAGCTATAATTTTCCCTATGTATGGCGACTATTGGGATACCCTGTATTTTTCTGTGTGTATGTGGAGGTAGTGGTGGGGGGGAGGTTAAATGGTGATAGACCATTTTAAAGCTGTTATGAAATAACATCAGTGCTTTTATTAAAAGTCAGTGTTCGTATTACGGGTTTGCTATGAACCTCTGTTTTTGAGCAGTCTGCCCTGTGTTAAGCATTTTCTGTAATGAGTTTATAGGTTTATAGCTCACTGGATGAGCACATTCAAGACAGGCACATTATAACATTGTAGCTGTGCATTTCCGTGTGAAATGGATTGTGGATATTGGTTGTCTTATTGGGTCACAGTGAGATAATGAAAAGAACAAGGTGTCAGAAGCACAAGACTTTGGTCTGAATTAGTTATTCAAGCCACTTCTTCTCCTCTCAAACCTGCTTTATTTATTGCGAAATGGGGTTAATGACATCCACTGTGTGGTGTGGCTGTGAAATCTGTAGGGTTAACTGTAGATTAAAACAACTAGCAGTGCCTGGTACAAAGTCTGAGCTTGAGTAAATGTGTTAATCTGAACTGGTTGGCTGGTAAGTCCACATTTAGACTTCCTGTATCTCTGAGAGGGAGGGTGTCTCTGAGCTCAGGGTTTCTCTGATTGAGGGGAGGGCAAGAGGGAGGTGTCTCTGAGAGGAGAGTGTCCCTGGGAGGGAGTGTCCCTCAGTGGAGGGCACCACTTTAGTCCTCCTGCTTCCCCATCGTCTCTGAAGACTGTAAGTCATGATAAAATGCTATAGGACAGATATGCAGATAATTTCATTGACATTCCAACCTGACTTTCTGGGGTGAGTGGAAGTTGTTTATATTTCAGACCAAACATAGATCGGGGGATTGAGCGTTTTGGTCTGAGGCTTTACTGCAGGAGCCACAGGGTGGGTATGTAAATGACAAGACAAGAACATCAGCAATGGAATCAACTGCAAGTTTTATTACTTGTACACTTAGGACAGTAGCCATTATTCCGGCCTGCATGGATGCCTATCATGAGTCTGGACAGAGTTAAATAGTTAAGAGACAGTATTGGAGCAGGTTATAGTGTTTTAGCATCTCAGATTTAGACAGTGGTATCCTTCGGGACATCTCGAGATAAAGTTTCACCTGTGTCACCCTGCATTGTGAAACCACGAGATCTTGCCTAGTGACCAAATTCTGGTCCTGCATGAGAGCATCTTGGAGATGAGCCAGACTGCCCTCCCCCCCAGCTCTGGTGTTCCCCCTGCATGATGCCTGCCTGGTGCCCAGCTCTGGTGTTCCCCCTGCACGATGCCTGCCTGGTGGCCATCCCACCCTTCCCTGAGTACTGCCAGTGACTTGGACAGACCAGTTTGACCAGACTCCCCCTTGTGTATTCTTTGAGTTGGCATAAGATAACAAGTGGTTATAGGTGGAGGAATATGTGTCTATTCAGGGTTAAAAAAAAAAATAGGGCAGTTTTAATGATCCTAAGAAATTTTAAAGGAACTAGAAGATTTTCATATTTTTCTTTACCTTCTTCTGCCTTCTTTGGTGCTCTGGAGAAGTTGTAACCATAGAGGAATTGTGTTAGTATTGTGTGTATTAATAGAATTGTGGGAGAATGATGACATTTTACTGCTTGAAGGGGATCTCAGATAATTTTATTTTGTAATAAAAAATCTGTATTCCAGTTTGGTGGGGTGAATTACCCAAAGCCACATGACTTTCTAGTGACAGATCCTGCACTAGGATTCAAGGTGTCTGCCACCTAGGCCAGATTCATTCCCTGTTCTGGGCTGCCTGGCTTCTTACATTATTATTCTTTCTTTTGATCTGATTTTTCTCATGCCATGTAGACCCAGGAGTATGAATTGGTTTGTTTCCAAGAAACCAAGTTCTAAATGTAAAGCTGGTCGTTGTTATTGATGGTGGCGATATGTGTGTTCAATTTGAGGGAAAACTTGCCAAGTCAATAATAAACGTGTTTCCCATAAATTTTTAAAGCAATCAATGAGCAGCCTTTTAAAATTTCTTCTGCGTTAAAACATCCCTCTGCAGAGGTAAGGGAGCAGACACAGAGGTACTGAGCCTGTCCCTCAGCCAAGCGCTGAGGGCCAAAGTGTTAGAATTTGAGGAAAAAAAAATATTTTCCAGTTTTATTAAGAAGTATGATATTTACAAAAGAAAAATGATAAATAATACAAGCGCACATTCCTAGCATTCCGTCTGTGTTCACTGGCCTCTCCTGTTTCCTTGGTTAGTGGGCCGGGCGTCTGATCATATTGGATAAAGTGAGCTCTGAGGAAGGCACAAAGAAAAGGGATTAGGACTAGTGAGTTCTCCCCTGATAATGCTGCTTTGATATTCAGGAGACAGGAACCAAGGAAATTAAGTATTGATTTTCATGTATAAAATGTTAGTTGTCAGCTTGTAGAAAATACTATAAGGTCACTTTAGTTAGTCTCTAAACATAATTTTATATCATATGTAGTTCCTAGGTTTTATTTACTTAGTATGCACATGGTACTTAATTCTCATCATAAGCTAAGAAAAAGAGAGGAACTATTAATGTTCTAATTTTCCAGGTAAGGAAACTGAGGCACAGAGGGGTTCACTGAGCTATGCTGGAGTTGGACCCTTAAATCATCTGTATGAGTGATAATAATTTCATGATAGAATAGGACCAAATGTCTTAAACAAAACAAAAATGTATTAGTTTTGGTATTGCCTAGGTATGTTTTTAAATCCTTTTCTATTTCAATCTGTGTCTTTGTTTTGTCCTTAACGATTATTTCCGTGGCAGTATTTGACAGGGATTTCTTTTGAACACGGGATGACAGTCTCTGTTGCATTACTTCTTTAAAGAAAGGTGGACGTGGTCGGGAAAGGTGATTAGGATGTTATGGCATTCTAACAAATCTCAGTTCCCTCTCTCAGGAGCACCTTCCTGTCTTGGACTTTGCCATGCTTTGGTGGCCAGAGGGACAGTGTTTTTCCCTGTTACTCTTTCTTCTTGAGTCAGCGAAGAAAATACTCCAAATCTATAATATTCTAGTATCGGGCTGGGGAAGACATTTTTTTGAGTCCTTGTCTATTTGTCTTTAAAAGTATTATATACCTTTGTGATATCAAGTAAATCACTCTTTATAAGGTAAAAAAAGACACTTCAAATCGTGGAATAAATCTAGACAGGAAGAGTTAAGTTCTCCCAGGTGCTCTGACTAGGGAGCCACAAGTCAGCCAGGAAACAGCTCACCCTGCAAACGTAACACAATATTTTAATGAAGAGGCAAGGAGTGGGATGCCCTCCCTACGTGGTCCAGCTACACAGCGCTCGGGCTGACAGGGGGTCAGCGGTGCTGTGTGAAGTCCAGTCACATGGTTCCAAAATTAGAAAGGATAATTAGAGACTTACAGTTATACATGTTCCAATGGGTTCCTTTGTGTCTGGGTGCTTCTCCCTCGCTGGTCTATCAGCCGATGACCACAACTCCAATCAGTAAGTTCTCAAGGCGCAAATGCTGTCACTGTGACCATTAACACAGTTGCATGTTGTCCAATTCCATTGAGCTTGGTTTGGACAGGAGGAGAACAGAGAGAGCAAATACAGTGATGTGGCAGGAACTTCTCTTTGGGTTCTCTGAAATATATGAAACTGCTTTTGAAAATAAGCTTTTTAGTGTAATAGATCTATTTTATATCTCCGCTTCCTAGTTTTTCTTTCAGATGTTGCTCGGGATACCGAGGAGTACGGCAGGAGTGGTGAATTCCATCTGTGTGCAGCTGAGGTGCCTGAGGAGAGTGCTACTGTCTGTCTTCAGCCCACTCTGAATTCGATATTTGTGGTTGTCTGCCTTCCTCTTGTTTTTTTTTCCCCTCCCCTTCTCAGATGGAATGCCGGTGTTTTGAAACTATCCTCTGTCTTCTTCAGTTTTTCTCTTTCCTTGGTGTCTTTCTGCTGTAGGAAGAAGTCTCATGAAATAAGCGGAATACAGAAATTTTGTTGAAGTGCTGTTTGAACAATTTTTCCGACATCACAATTTAAACCTGAAGTTGTTTTAATATAGTGTATTAATATTAAAAGAAGAAATTAAAATAATGTGATGGATGGGGACAGAGAAAAATATTTTTGATCTTGTGAAATTGTCTTTAGAGA